TAATAAAGCGAAAGGAAAATCACCCCCCCCTCCAATGTCTGTCTGTGTGTCTTATCTGTCTATCTGTTTGTCTGTCTATCTGTTTGTCTGTCTGTCTGTCTGTCTGTCTGTCTATCTGTCTGTCTGTGTGTCTGTCTGTCTGTCCCTCTGTCTGTTTGTCTGTCTGTCTGTCTGTTTGTCTGTCTGTTTGTCTGTCTGTCTGTCTGTCCCTCTGTCTGTTTGTCTGTCTGTCTGTCTGTCTGTTTGTCTGTCTGTCTGTCTGTCTGTCTGTCTGTCTGTCTGTCTGACTGTCTGTCTGCCTGTCTATATTACTCTTTCCCAGCTCTAAATGACCGTCGTCAGCGTGTCGACGCGCTTGTTTATTCATTCAAACAAATAAACTAACCAACCAACGAACAAACAAGCAAATTGCAGTTCTGTGTTTGTGGTTGGAGACCCACTTCTTAACTTTCCTTTTGTTGTTTCTGTCTGTCTGCCTTACTTTTTAGCAGCATTAGATTCACCAGATTACTATTATTGTGTCAAAGTGCTTCTCTTTACTCAAAGATCAAAACTCTGCCTGTTGTTCTGTCTGCCTGTATTACTCTTTCCCAGCTCTAAATGTCAATATTGTTTATATGTTGACGTTCTAGTTTTCTCAAACAAACAAACAAACAAACAAGTAGTGTATAGTTTTTGTGTGTAATTTCCTCTGCAGAAAACTCTTGTGATTGTGAAGGAGCTGGAGCTGTTGGGCATGGCGGCGTCTCACGTGAGGCTGTACCCAGGCATACAGCAAGACTCGGAGCTGCTCAAGTGTGCCGTCAGTAAGTGCAAGATCACGTCTTTGTTTGCTCTTCTATAATATGACGATTTTGACACCGTTAACGTCTTGGTGGTCGGGCCGTCTACTGACTAGACGATGTATTATTATTAGATTGTTTTTCTGTCTACGTTTGGCACCTGTAACTATTAGAAGCGAGAACGTCTACTGGCTAGACTCCTAGACTCCGGGTTCTTAATTTATTTTGGCGGGGGAGGGGGGGGTAACTTTTTTCCCTCATTCATCATAAATATATTCTTGTCTGTACTGTAACGGTATCCTCATAGTATCAGATCTTCATTCAGTTCTGAACAGTTTGTTTGGAAATATAAGCTTGTAGCAAGAATATCTTATTTTTTTAATGGCAAAAATGGCAACTTATCTTGCATATTATCGTCCTCCCTGTTTGCTGCCCCCACAAAGGGAATAGCTAGTCTAACGACTTCTTAGGGTTAAATAAAGAAATGAGAATTAGAGTCAAGCCAGCAGTTGGGAAACGAGAACTGATGAGCTTTCTGTGAAGAAAACAGTAAAGTCAGTTGTATTTGTCTACCGGCCTTTATTTTATTATACTTTTGTCCTGCATTTCTTTGCTCAAACTGAGCTAAATGACTACCATAGCGATGTGCTTCTCTCCATCTCAAATAGTTCTACAGCCCGTGTTAAGGGGCTCACACATTCACAAAGTCATCTTCATAAACTGAAGGCAGTACCATTTAGTATTTATTTATTTATTTATTTATGTATTTATTTATTTATTTATTTATTTATTTATTTATTTATATATTTTATGAAAGTCATCTTCGTAAACAGAAGGCAGTACCATTTAGTATTTATTTATTTATTTATTTATTTATTTATTTATTTATTTATTTATTTATTTATTTATTTATTCATGTATTTATTTATTCATGTATTTATTTTATGAAAGGTGCAGACTTTGCTGTCTCTGCTATACATCCTGGTGCCTTTGATGTAATTTATAATATTGCTCTTGGCTGTATCACACAAAGGCGTGAAGTAGATTACGTTTTGTTAAGGTCTGTTTTATCGAGTATCTTTATCCCATTCAACTCCTGTTGGCTTTGGCAATAAATGTAGAAGCAATCCGTCATCTTCGTTATCTAAATTGTGTCAATTCAGTATTTTAGGTCAACAGGCAATCTGTGCAGTGTCATAAGTAGGAAGATAATAATATAAATAGGAAAAAAGAGGAGTGGGGAGCGCTTGAAAGAAATGAATAATAATAAATAATAAATAGCATTTGTATAGCGCATACCCCCGCTCGACAACAAATTCTATACGCCTCAGAGAAAGCTAGGCACGGTTTCAGACAAAACCTTGGCGGTCTGATTATACTCAATACCTGGGGCAGAGAGACAATGATAATGATGAGAGATGTGAGTGACAATAAATTAATTGCTACAGACTGTCTCAAATATGTTTGATTTTATTTTCAAATATTATTTATTATTGTTAACCAAAACTGACGTCTGTAATCTGATTTTTACGCTATTTTCCCCCTCATCATGACAGGAGTGAGTTAGTTCTCCGGCGTCTATTGTGTAGTGGTTAAGATTTTCGCTGTGGCACAGAAGGACACCCGAGTTCGATTCCCGAATGGGGAGATAATTTTATCGAGTACTTTTGCCTTTCTGTTGGGATGTTGTGTCCCTCTCAGCCTGTATGTATGTGCCCTCCGTCTAAATTTAATCCAACTAATGTTGGTGGGGGCGTAAAAAGACCTACATTGAGCGCCTACATCAAGAGGAGGCTCCAAGACTCTGGTAACTTTACAACCACCCGATATGAGGGAACTATCAGAGCTGAGTACTTTCGAAAAACAAAAAAAGACATAAAAGCCGTGCACTATCAGAACCGCGCACTTTAAGTTTAAGAAAGAAAGTAATATCGATGTATTTGATAACCTATTACACAAATAGTACTTAATTTAATGGTACTGATAGGGAACAATTTTTGTCACACCGTTGGGTGGTATTTGCGAACAAATTGTTTCGATATTGTTAAAAAGTGTGCAGTTCTGATACTGCGCTGCTTTGATATACTATGTAATTTTTTTCCGAAAGTGCGCGACTCTGATAGTGCGCAGCTTTGATGAATTATATTTTTTTCGAAATCCGTGCTTCTGATAGTGCGCAGCTTTGATACTCCCCCCCCAAAAAAAAAAATAAAATAAAAAATGCACGGTTCTGATAATGCGCAGGGCTCTAATACAAATGCACCTCTGGATTTGGTTCAGCCGGGTGTGTTTGTCCAGGCGCCTACTGCACTTCATCAGTTTTGACCGGTTCCTGTAACAACCGGTCCTCAAGCCAGTCTCTCTTTTCTCCCTCTCCATTTCTTTCCCCTCTTCTATCGGTTATTATTTATTGCTCTCTCTCTCTCTCTCTCTCTCTCTCTCTCTCTCTCTATCTCTCTCTCTCTCTCTCTCTCTTTCTGTTTCTAGTTTTCTCGCTCCAACATTTGAGCACACAAAACTACACATCTTTTGTGTTCTTCTTCCTTCTCCAGAGCCACACCAGACGCTATAAACATCGCCTTTTATTAAAACGAGTTTTCTGATACTTGAAAATATATTACCCTGCTCCATTTCTGCTCTCTG